GTTTTTTCTATGTTTTTTGTGTTCTGGCTTTTTCGGCTTCCGGACGCTCCAAGACGGCCCAAGAGGCCCCCAAGACCGCTCCAAGACGGCCCACGAAGCTCCCAAGACGGCGCCGAAACGACCCAAGAGAGCCCTCAAGACGGCCCAAGTGCCGCCCAAGACGGACCAAGAGGCCCCAAGACGGGCCCAAGAGGGACTCAGGAGGGATACCGAGAACTCAAAAATGGAGCCCTCCGTCCCAGAAGGCGCCCAGGAGGTCCCAAAGAGGCCCCAAGAGGCCTCCAAGAGGCCCCAAGATGTCGCCAAGAGGCCCCAGGAGACTCCCAGGAGGCCCAAAAGAAGCCCCAGAAGGCTTCAAACATGTCTCCCAGGCGCCCCCGAACGGCCTCTCAACAGACCCCAAGAGGCCCCCCAAAGAAGCATCTTGACGACGACTCTATTTCGCCCCATCGAGAGACGACCCCCAGGGAACTGCTTCACCATCAAAACTCCCCACGCAACGCGTCCGAACGACACCCGCCCCCAAGAGCGCAACATGGGCAACGAACACACAGACAAAAACCAGCGATGCCATATCACGGGCCGGCGGAATGAGCGAAGCGATTCAATAAAAAACAATGCGAAATGCACCTCGCGGCTAAATCTCGGTCGCGCGAGGCCACCCCGCGATCACTGTCAAGTTGTTTTTTGGCAGGGACGGCGGGGGTGGTGGCGTATGGCCTGCTATGCGCAGGCCTACCAGACACAATGATGGGCATTGGTTTTCGACAAGGATGGTTGGGGCCGACATGTTTCCCGATGCGTGCTGTCACGTGCGCAGGCGCACCTGACACACTCTGCATGTGCTCCGAACGTGGACATACGGCCTGGCTGGAGTATGCGGCACACCTGGTGCACGTGGAACACGCTGCACATCTGGCGCACCAGGCGTGCCTGGCACGCTTGGGCCCCAGCGGTGCCTGGCGCACTTGGGGCGCCTTTCACGCGTGGCGCACCTCGCCCCAGCGTCGCGCACATGGGGTCGGTTTTGGTTCTCAGTAGCTGCCCATCCAAAGACGACCGCTGAACATGCTGAGGCTCGGGCGTTACTCATGTGTTGGGAGGGCGGGTGGGAGTGAGCCAGACGGCTTTCTATCAATGAGGGTATCTTGACCCGTCCCCCATACCCCTCCCCTCAGGTCTTGAGAGGGGGGGGGGTCGCGACCGACTGGAACGCACAAGACGGCCCCGGCGAGCAGGCAGAAATCATTGATTGTAGAAGGATCTGGGACCATGTTGGCCTCCTAGGGCTCTGATTTACCCCTCGCCTTCTTTGACCGATCTCCTCCAAGATGGTCCCAAAATGGCCCCCGAGGCCCCCAAGAGTGGCCCAAGAGAGCCCCACGAGGTGCCCAGGAAGCCGAAAAAGGCCCCCAAGATGTCCCAAAAAGTTCCCCAAGAGGCCCCCGAGAGACCGCTAAGAGGCCCCAAGAGGCTCCCCTGAGGCACCACCGAGGCCGCCAAGAGGCCCCCAAGAAGCCCCAAGAGGACTCCAAAAAGCTCTCAAGAGACATCCGAAGAGACTCCGAGAGGCATCCAAGAGGCCTCTAGCCTTTTCTGTTCGCTCGCTTCCTCCTCCTCCTCCTCCTCCTCCTCCTCCTCCTCCTCCTCCTCCTCCTCCTCCATCTCTTCTTCCTCATCCGCCTATTCCTCCTCCTCCCTCCTCCCTCCTCCCCCCCCTCTGCCTGCTCCTCTTCCTGAGAGTCCTTCTCCATCCTCCTCCTGGGCTGTGACGTCTTACCCAACCCACCTGTTCCATCGCATGCTCCTCCACAGCCCTGATCAGGGCGCCTGGGCGTCGTGTCTGGATGGGCTCGTGTCGTGGATCTGCGCGTCCAGAGCTCGATTGAACCCCCTAAGGGCGTCATCAGCGTTCCAGGATCGGCCCGAGGCCCGTCCGTCCGCCCTCATCCCGTGCTCCATGCGCTGCGGATGCGCAGCCAGGCTGCCGGCTGAGTGGCGCGTTCTGCCCATGCTGATGTCCGTGCCTGGTGTTGGCGGTTGCTGCTGGGAGCGTCTGCTCCTGCTGCCTGCTTGCCGGTGCGAGCTGCCGCTCGCCGCGGCTCGTTGCTGCCGCCTGCCGATGAGCGCTGGGGTTGACACCGTGAGCTGACGCTGCTTCCTGCTCCTTGCCGTTTCTGCATTCTGCTGGAGGCAGGTGAGGGCTGCTGCGAATCCAGCTTGCCTGCTTGCATGCTTGTGAGGCTGCTAGCCTGCTGACCAATCATATTGGTTGCCTGCTGTTCGGGTTTCTAGCGTGCTTGCTTCATTACTTGATCATCTGCTTGCTGCCGCTTGCTGCTGCTTCGTGTCAGTTGCTGCTATGTGCTGCTGTCCGATGCATCTCTGCTTCTGCTGCCATCCGCTGTTGACTGGTGCGGACTGCTGGCTGTTGCTGTTCAGTGCTGGTTGTTGCTGCTGGGCTGCTGCTACCTGCTGCGTGCTGCTGCTCGGTGCCCGTGATGTGACCGCGTGCTGCTGCTGCTGGCCGCCGCTGCTTGCGTCTCCAGGGTGCTGCTGCTGCTGCTGCTTCTGCTTCTGCTTCTGCTGCTGCTGCTGCTGCTGCTGCTGCTGCTGCTTCTGCTGCTGCTGCTGCCTGCTGGTGCTGCTCGCTGGTGTTGCCTGCCGCTGCCGGTTGCTGCTGCTGGCTTCTGCTTCTGATTGCTGCTGCTGCTGCTGCTGCTGCTGCTGCTGCTGCTGCTGCTGCTGCTGCTGCTGCCAGTTGCTCGTGGCTGCCGCTGATGGCCATGCAAACGCTGGATCTGGGGGCCGTGCTGGGGCGCTCGGGGGCCGCGTTGGGGGCACCCTGGCCGTCTCGGGGCTCTCGGGGGCTCTCGGGATGAGGAGGAGGAGGAGGAGGCTGAGGAGGAGGAGGAGGAAGAGGAGGAAGAGGAGGAAGAGGAGGAGGAGGAGGAGGAAGAGGAGGAGGAGGGAAGAAGAGGAAGGAGGAGGAGGAAGAAGGAGGGAGGAGGAGGAGGAGGAGGAGGAGGAGGAGGAGGAGGAGGAGGCGCAGGAGGAGGAGGAGGAGGAGCAGGAGGAGGAGGCCCTCCGGGGCCTTCCTGGGCTCTCTTGGGCACTTCACGGGGCGCCGTCGGAAGCTCTCCCGTGGCCGTCGGGGGGCCGCCCTGGAGGCGATGAGAGCGGAGGCGAGGCGAGCCAGCCTGGGAAGCGAGAGGCATGGAAGAGCACATCGTTTGGTCTTGGGGCACATCTGGGCCCAGACCCCCGACGTCATTGTTTTTTCATGACGTCGACCCCCAAGGTTCTCGACCCACTCCAGGGGACCGGTTTATCCTACTCGACCTGACGGCACCGAGGGCCGGTAAGGGCCACCCGAGGGCGAAAATCGTGAACAACCTCCCGTCGTGGTTCTCACAACACGAGGAGGTCTGGGGGAGGAGGAGGAGGAGGAGGAGGAGGAGGAGGAGGAGGAGGAGGAGGAGGAGGAGGAGGAGGAGGAGGAGGAGGAGGAGGAGGAGGAGGAGGAGGAGGAGGAGGAGGAGAGGAGGAGGAGGAGGGAGAAGGAGGAGGAGGAGAGGAGGAGGAGGAGGAGGAGGAGGAGGAGGAGGAGGAGGAGGAGGAGGAGGAGGAGGAGGAGGAGGAGAAGGAAGGAAGGAAGGAGGAGGAGGAGGAGGAGGAGGAGGAGGAGGAGGAGGAGAAAGGAGGAGGTAGAAGGAGGAGGAGAAGGAGGAGGAGGAGGAAGGATGAGGGAGGAGGAGGAAGGAGGAGGGAGGAGGAGGAAGGAGGGAGGAGGAGGAGGAGGTCTGGGGAGGGTCTCGGTCGAATCCTGGCGCCTCCCAGGGGCCGGGCGGGCCCGGGCCGCGGAGCCTCGGGAGCGCTGACCGGGGCGGCCGGGGCGGCGTCGCGCGCTGTGCGGAGCCGCCGGGACAGCGCCGCCCAGGGGCGTGCCGTGGGGGGGGGGCCCAGAGATCTGATGATGTGATTTTTTCAATGCGGGGTCCCCGGAAGTCTCGACCCATTCCCCAGGATTTTTTTCGTCGCACTCGCAGCCGTGGGGGGAGACCCCCAGAGATGTTTTTCGTCGCAGCCGCAGGCGAAGGCGCCGACGGTGTCACAGGTCAGCTCGGGCTACGAGCGAACCTACTTGACCTGAGCGCGCGCACCAGCGGCTGCTGAACTACCGCCGAGGGACGCTGAGCTAGGAGACCCAGAGATTCGATGTCGTGATCTTTTCGATACGGGGTCCTCGGAAGTCTCGACCCATTCCCCAGGACCGGCTTCTCATCCTGAGTCGTTTTTTCACGGTCCCGGGGCCCTGCGAGGGCCCCTCGAGGCAGAAAAATACGACAAACCTCAGTCTTGATTCTTTCAATGCGTTGGACCTCTGGAGGCCCTCCGTAAGCAGACTTTTCCCTTAGTGCTCTGTTGTTTTCTTCACCTGGAGGGTCGAGGCACATTCCAGCAGCTTGAGCTCGACGAGAGCTTCGAGACGGCGGCGCTACTGCGCCGATCGGCCTTCTGTGGGCTACATTCAAGCTGCGGAACCGGTTCGACAGAATGGCAAGGGATGCGAGCCATCACGGGGGCCCTTCCCCCGGAGATCCAACGCAGTGAAAAAATCGAGACGGAGATGTGGTTCGCATTTTCCAACCTCGAGGGGCCCTCGCCAGGCCCTGGGACCGTCAAGAAACAACTCAGGATGAGAAGCCGGTCCCAGGGAATGGGTCGAGACCCCTGGGGGTCGACGTCATGAAAAAATCACGACGTCGGGGGTCTGGGAAGGGGCCTTTCCCGCACACGCGCGCCGCCAGGTACGGTGATGGCATTGGATAAGGAAACCTTCGATAAGGAATCCAGGGTCTGGAAGCCAGTGGAAAGCCAATCGTGGATTGGCCATGGATATCACCGCCGCCCTCATCAGATAAGGAGCCCTCCAGGGTTTGAAGCCTCCTGGGCACGTTCCTGAACGAACGCCCCAACCGTACTGTGGTATAGGTGGCGGAGGGCTCCAGCTTCGCCTCCCGCATCTCGCCGAGAAGCGCCAACGCCCGCTGCCACTGCGCGGCCTTCTCGCACGCGCTGATCCCGGCGTTGCAGGCGAGGATGTTGTGCTCCAACATTTTCTTCCGCGTTTCGCTGAGCAGCGCCAACGCCCGCTGCCACTGCCTGCCCTTCTCGCACGCGCTGATCACAGCGCTGTAGCTGATTACATCGGGCTCGAGCTTCGCCCCCCGCATCTCGCTGAGCAGCGCCAGCGCCCGCTTCCACTGCTCGCCCTTTCCGCACGCGCTGATCCCAACGTTGTAGCTGAACCAGGGCTGACCCGCGGCCTTCCGGCCCCCGAATCTGCTCGCCATGGCGTGGACGTGGAAGTGGAGCGTCTCTTGGGACCTCGCGGGTAAGGGGAGGGTGGAGGGGACGGCCTGAAATGAGGTGGCCGCTAGCTAGAGGTGGAGGCGAGCGAGGGATGCAGGCAAGCAGGCCTGAAGGCAGGAACGCGGTGGTGGAGTCGGTGCCAGTGGAAGCACACCCATGTAGGCATGACATGGTGTGGACAGGAACTGTTTCTGACGCCGTAGTCTGTGTTCATCATAGTTTCTGCGGGGAGGGTAGCCGTGAGAAGTTATCTGCTCTTCGCCGGGGCCGAATGATACTTTGATCTGGTAGTCTGGTGACAATGGGGCCAACGGGCGCGGCCTAGGAAACCTGACCAGACAAGAACGCGAAGCGCCGTTTTTTATCCACCACGTGCGTCAGAGACCGTATTGGCGAGAAAGTCAGAGAAACCCATAAACGCAACAGAACAGACTAAATGATGGCCTGCCGCGCTGGTCTGTCGAGGTAGTCTGCTGCCCTGGCCACATCATGGTGTCGACACCGTGCTTTTCTCTCGGCCACGCGGGCCCCCACCCGTTGTCGCCCAGCCTACTTTTTCTGTTCCAGCCTGTCTTGTCTTTTGTTTGTCCGTCGTCGTCGTCGCGTGCCTTTCCTTTGTCGTGGTCGTCGTTTTCATTATAATCGTCCGCTGTTGCCGTTCTCGCTGTCGCCGTCGTTATCATTTTATGATTGCGGTCGTTTTTCTGATTGTTTTTTTGTTGTTGGATTCCGTGCTCGGTTGGTTTTTGTGTTATGTTTGTGGTCGTTTTCTGTCATCGTTTTTTGTCGGGATTTTCGAGATCGTCATTGACGAAGACGACGACGAAGACGACGACGACGACGACGACAACGACGACGACGACGACGACGACGACGACGAGCAGGAGGACCCGTGCCGGCTGGCTCGGGGTGCCCGCGTCCCTCTGCTGCCGCAGGCCGCCGCCAGCGAGTTCCGAAGTGCGGGCCCGTACCCCGTAGTTAGAGAAAATTAAGCCCCAGAACCAACGGTGCACGCCGGAGGCGCTTCCCGTCATCCTCGAGTTCGTCTGGAGGCCGTCTCGAGGCCGTCCTGAAGACATCCTGGGCCGTCCTGGCGGCACCGTGGGTCGTCTTGGGGGCCGTCCTGGGGGCTCTTGGGGGTCTCTTGGGGCGCTTTGGGGATCCTCTGGCGGGCGCGGCCTAGGAAATCCGCCACCGTGCCTGTGCCTGGGTAATGGCTCAGAAGCCTCTGGGGTCCCTCTTGGAGGCAGCTTTGGGGCCTCTTGGGGGCCGTCTTGGGGCCTCGTGGGGCTTGCTTTGGGCTTCTTGGGAGCCTCTGGGGGTCTTGGGGCCTTGTTTGGGCGTATGGGGGCCCAGGGCTCGGAATGTCAGGGTTTTTCCCCGTTCTTTGGCCCCCTCTTGGGCCTGGCTTGGGGTCCTCTGGGGCCGTTTTAGGCGCCTCTTGGGCCATCTTGGGGCTCCCTGGGCCGTCTGGGGACGCGTTTGGAGGCCTGTTGGGCATCCTGCGGCGGTCTTGTGTCTCTTCGGCCGTCTTGGAGCGTCGGCTAGCCGAGAAGGCGAGAAGGCAAAACTCCTTCGAAAACCATTGACAAATTACAGATTTTGGCACCTGGGGGCATGCTTCGGAGGACTGTGGGAGGCTCTTGGAGGCCTCTTGGGCCTTGTTGGGGGCCTCTACAGGGCCTCTTGGGCGCTCCTTGGAGCCTCTTATGGCCACTTCGGCGCGGCTTTGGGCGGAGGGCTCGATGTGTGACGCTCGGGGGCCAGGATCTGTGTGAGGAGTGTCGAAAAAAGGCCCTCCAGGGAGCGCATCGATGCACGACCTTCTGGCACGCGCTGATGTCCGCCATAGAGAAGAGATAGCGTGAAACCGTGGATTCAACTCACAGCTTGCTGAGCCTGGAACTCGCAAGCCGTATGTTTAATCTACAGAACAGCACGTCGAAGCCGAACAGCTCGTGGAGAGGACGGGGGAGGACAAGAGTGCAGGTGGGGGACCTCGGAGCGCATGCGTGTGCCGCGGCAGCGACTCCGTGGAGGAGGGAATGCGGTGACTTCCGGTCGTGACGGGCTGCGCTGTTGCCCTCGACATCGCGTGGAACGCTCAGCCATGCACGGTCGGAAATTTTGGAAGGGAGGAAAGCAGGAAGGGAGGAAGGGAGGAAGTGAGGAAGGGAGGAAGGGAGGGAGGGAGGAAGGGAGGGAGGGAGGAAGGGAGGAAGGGAGGAAGGGAGGAAGGGAGGAAGAGAGGAAGAGAGGAAGAGAGGGGGGAGGAGGAGGAGGAGGAGGAGGAGGAGGAGGAGGAGGAGGAGGAGGAGGAGGAGGAGGAGGTTCTCGCCTGGGCGCACGCTCCACACGTGGCCACTGCATGCCCTCCGCGGCAGTCGGGGCCTCCCGGGGGGCCTGTCTGGGGCTTCATATACAAGGGCTCCTAAGTTCGCGCTTCGCGCTGCGCGAAGCGCGAAGCGCGAATAACTTCGCGCCCTCGCGCCGCCCCCCCAAAGGGAGAATAGGAGGACGAGGAGGAGGGGGAGGAGGAACGAGGACCGCGAAGCGCGAAGCGCGAATAACTTCGCGCCCTCGTGGGAGCCCTTGCATATAGGGGCCACTCTTGAGATGCTTTGGGTGTCTTCTGGGCTGTGTCGGGGGCATCTAGGGTTAGGTTGGGCCTGTCCCAATAAAAAAAGGTGCAAAACATGCTCAGAAGATGCCCAACCATACTCAACACATAGTCCCCAGACATTTTGTTCTAACTATTTGGGAATTGATTCCCCCTGTAGAGGGACAGGCCCGACTTACATCTAGGGTTCTTCTGCGAGGCTGCCTGGGGCCTCTGGAAGGCCTCGTGCGGTATTCTGGGCGCCTCCGGGGCCGTTCTCGGGCTCTCCTCCAGCGCCCCCTCTTGGAGGACAGCCAAGGAAGCTTGGCTTGGGATCGCTCTGGAGCCTTCCTGCGGCGTCCTTGGGGCTCTCAAAGGGGCTCTTTGAGGCTGCCTTCGTGCGCTCCTGGGCCACTTTTGGGGGCCGTTTGGGGCCATCCAAGGCCTCTCTTGGGAGCCTGCAGGGCAATTGTGGGGAGATCTATCTAGGAGGCGCTGCGAACCATCTGGAGCCGTTCAGGGGGCGAACGAAACGGTGGAAACCTGGAAATCCTTCCAACACTATGGACGATATATGGATTTGGCCTCGCGGGGCCGTCATCGGGGTCCCCCTGGGCTGTCTTGAGAGGCCTCCTGGCTTGTCTTGGGCCCGTCGTGGGGGCCATTGCGAAGCTCGCTTCGGGCTCCCTGGGACCATCTGGGCGCTCTCTTGAGCGTCTCTGATCCACCGTTGGGCGTCTCGGAGTCTTTTATTGAGCAAGGACCGACCGTCCCGGCATTCCTATAGGCCTACCACGAAATCTTCTTCGAACCCAGCAATGTTCGAATAAGGAAACACTGCTCGTAGAACACAAACCCGATGTGTTAAAACAAGACAGTCCCAGCCACAAATGCTCTAAAAACATTTCGTGCAGACCACAAAAGGTTCGTTATACCATTCTTTGATCGGCCTATAGGCGAGCTAAGACGCTTCGCCACTGCTTGATTTTAGCGACCGCCCAGGGCCGTCTAGGACCGCCCCGGGACCGCCGGGGCGCCCGGGGAGCGCCTGGAGCCGCCCCGGGCCCGCCGCCACTGCAGCGCGAGCTCGCACGCACGGAGCCGAGCGTTGTCGTGTAGACTTTTGGATGCCAGACAATGGACACCCTAACAATCCGATCATTGAATTAAACTGTGCTAAGAATGATGGAGAATAGGTCGACCATGTTTTAACCATTTGTTGACATGTTTAAGCATTTTTAGAATAAGGTTTAGCCATCTGGAAATCATTTGGCAACATGCTTCCTCTTCATTGATCGCCCTCCACAAGTGTAGACCAGCGCACAGCACGCAGGTCGAGGTGTGGGCCCCGAGCGCGCAGCTGTCGCCGCCCCGAGCAGGACAGAAAGACGAGGGGGAGCGAAGAAGTTTCTGGAGCCCGTGGCGTCACGGCTCAGATCCCCACAACACCCTGCGGCAAGTGCACAACTGGGCCATGGTGTCACCGTCGCCGTCGCCGCTGCCGTGGCCATCGCAGCGGTCATTGCTGCCGTCGTCGCCGATCGCCACCGTCGTTAACAGTGGGTGGAGGGCATGGCCTCGGCGACGCGGCGCATCACGCGGTCGTAGGCGAGCGGGTGGACGCTGGGCTGCACGATCGACGGGGCTCCGACGAATAGCCGCCGAGGGGCTTGGCAGAAGAAGCTGGCGTGCCGTGCGGTTGCTGTCAGAGGGCACCCCCTGTCAGTCCTGATGTAGGGTTTGCTGCAAGCCTCGGGGGCCGGGGCTGGAGGCTGCCTTCGAGTGTCCTGGGGGGGGGTCCGCGCCATCTCGGAGAGTGGTCCAGGGAGGGATCTCGTGGTCGTGGGGCTGTCTTGGGGGCCAGCGAGGGCTTTACGAGGAACGTCTCCCCTGTCATCCCTGTAGTCGGCCGCAGGGGAGGAGCGAGGCGCTCGTCCCCGCAGTGTCTGCAGGCCCGCCCCCCCAACCGGCCGCAGAGGGGGAGCGACCAAAGTGTCTGCGGGTCCCCCCCTTGTCACCCCCCAA